AACAGGGTAAATTATCTCACAAAAAAAAACAGAAAAGAAAAGACTCTTACAGTGGAGGGGAAACAGGGGAAGGTGAGAGGGAATGAATGAATCTTATTCTCATAGGATTTGACTTAAGGAGGGAATAACATGCACACTCAATTGGGTATGGAAATCTGTCTTACCCTACAGGAAAATGGGGGGGGGTAAGGGGACAAGACAGCTGGGGGATGATAGAGAGGAAGGCAGATTGGGAAAGGGGGTAATCAGAAGCAAATACTTCTGAGGAGGGACAGGGTCAAAAGAAAGAATAGAATAAATGGGAGGCAAGATATGAGTAAGGGAAATAGAGTTAGTTTTTCACAGCATGTCTACTATGGAAGTGTTTTGCATAACTGCACATATATAACCTATATTTAGTTGCTTACCTTATCAATGAGGGTGGGCGGGGAGGGAGGAAGGGAGAAAATTTGGAACCCAAAGTTTTAAAAACACGTTTAAAAAAAATGTTTTCACATGCAACTGGGAAATAAGAAATATAGGAAATGGGGTACAGAAATCCATCCTGCCCTATAGGAGAATTGAAGGGGAAGGGGATAAGAGAAGCGGGGGGGAGAGATAGAAGGGAAGGCAAACTAGGGGAAGGGATATTCAGAATGCATGCCATCATGGGGTGGAGGGAGGGGTAAGATGGGGTGAAAATTTGAAACTCAAAATCTTGTGGAAGTAAATGTTGAAAACAAAATAAATAAATAAATAAATAAATTACCATTAAAAAAAAGAATATGAATGTCCTACCAGAATAATGTGCATATTGACACATCTCTTATTTGTTAGTTCGTCTAACTATTTTATCTATCATGTCTTCCATTTCAAGTCAACAGCTGCGTTTGGTACAGAGAGTTTCATAATGTTTCCTGACATATTTTCTACCTATTGATAAGCATTTTTTTTCCTCAGAGGTTTAAGAAATGTGAAAGAATCAGGCATAGGGTTGTAAAATGTTTGATTATTGATTGATTAAAAACAAAGACAGTTTCCCTTACACATTACACATCTAATAAAATACTGCCTTAGTTGCTAATGAAATGTTCACTAATGTCATGATTGGTAATGCTATTATGAATGTCTATTAAGGAATATAGAAGGAGGTATAAAAAAAGATAACTTTTCAAAACCATTAACTCTGTATTTCCACTGTACTGAACTTCCCAGGAAAATATACTGAGAAGTTAACGAAAAATATGACTCTTCTAGGAAGTTTGAACAAATGTATACAATAAATGACAAATACTCAACTGACTTTCTGAATAACTAGGGTTGTTTCAGATACTCTCATTAAGTGCTGTAAGGCACTGGGGATTCATTATATGCTGGCATCATTTCAGAAAGCAGTAATTCTAAATGCCTGTCATATAACCAGTAGGTTTTTATATCAGCAATTGGTGATTATAATGTACTTAGCTAACATTTATATTATGATAATGTATTAAGACAGATTAATATGAGAAATAAAACAGTAACAATATGTTAACACTCAGTGTTTTTTGTTTTGTTTTGTTTTGTTTTTGTTGTTGTTTGTTTTGCTTTGTCGTTTGTTCAGGATGTAAAATGCAAAAAAACATTGAGTGTAGTGGATAGGAAAGGAGTTTATCTGAGGCTCCCCAATTCCGTTTGTATTAGAATCATAGATTTTTAGGATTTGAGGGGATCCTTGAGGCAATCCTGTCTTACCGAAGTATAAATCCCCTCTAAAATATGGTCAACTAACCTCAACTTGATTTTTTTTTCCTGTATTAAGGAACTCACTACTTTTTACAGCCTCTTCTCCCTACTATGGACACAACCATAACTCCCCAAGTTATCCACATTCCATTTTTGGAAGGTTTCACCTCTCCAATTTTTTTGAACTAGGTATACATGTTGATCATAGTTTTCTAGTATTGAAATGCATCCCCAAAATTATTAATTTCACCTTCCTTTAAAAGATATATTTGCCTCCTTATGCTAATGTTGCTAGTGCATTTTGTTTATTATCAATATCCCATGTTTTTAGACAACTGAATCCATAAATATAATCTTTGTTTTTCCATAATTTTCTGCTATGGATTATTGAAACTGATATTCTTCCTATCCTTCTATATTTTACCTCTTGACCATTATTATTGCATCTGATTTATAATTTATCTCTCTGCTTTTATTTTCTCTTAATCAGAATAGCCAATATTTCAAGATAATACTTTTTTTCTCTTGCTTTATTAGAAATTTTCCAACCCTGCTTAAGACTATATAATTTTTTGTCATAGCATGGTTCACAAAGCCAAGCCCATTCCCAGCTATCTTCTATACCATCTCTTAAGTGGTTCTGTATTATATATATATTTTTTACCTTTAATGCATAACTCCATTTGACAACAGTGATGGAAACAAAAACTTTTGCCTCAGAATTCATTCAGTTTTCTTCCCAAAGCCTCATAACCTTATAACAATCCAGATTGCTTTCTTAGTATCACTAGTTCCAATGGACATCATAGAAATGAGTAAGAGGTACCAGTTTTGACACATCTAAGGAGTCTCTATTAATACCAAAATGATATTATGGGTAAACTGCTCTGGTGTTACTGGCATGTTTTGACACTCTTATCACCAAGCTCCCATTATAGGTAGACTATGTTCTATCTTCTTTGTGAGTATTATCTTAGTAGACTAAGGGACTATCTGCTTCCTGGGGGTCAGTTGTATATGTATATATCCGTATATGTACATACATGTATGTATTTATATTTGCATGTATATACGTATGTATGCTAATATGTGCATGTGTGTATGTATATGTGTTTTCATGTGTGTATGTATTACATGTATGTGTGTATGCATGTGTGTATGCACATACATACGTGCATATTTTAAATTTCCTTTAAAAATTTTCTTAGTTTTATCTATTGATAACCATTCTTTATCCTTTAAAAGCTCATGTAAAATTGTTTTATCCCATAACAGTGCAGATTATTGTGAGAAGAACCTTAAACCTAGCCCCAAATGTTTAAAGATCCTTCTCTCCTTGTTCTTCAACATTCGTCTATTTTTCATCTCCTTTCACTCATTGTTTCTGGATTTGGTTCCTCTCTGACTCCTTGTTATGTTCATCTTTGTTTAATTTTTTGAGCTTTTTTTTCCTTCCTACCAGGTCTTTCAATTCAAATTACTCAGAATATTTATTTCATCCACAATGATAATTGGAAAAGTAGAAAAGCATTTTCTAGAACTTTCATCTTCTCTTCTGAAAGTGAAATTAATTTATACTTTGTAAAAACATACTGATAAGTCCTTGTTGGCAAAGAAAAAAAATGGCAATATGATCATTAGAACACTTCCCTTTTATATCTCAGGTTTATTTCTCTCTGTATATGGAGAGAAATATGGAAGCGTCCAATAAACACAACACATCCTCATTATAGTCTAAAATGAAGGAAACAATTATTACTTGTAACTGAATATAACCTCTGGATTTTATTTAAAAAAAAGGGGATGAACTGGATAGACACAAATGTGATTAGTTTGGAGAGATGTCTCAAGACTCTTCCATTACTGTAAGAGAAGATGTTCAATAGAATGAGGAACCAAATTGTAACAAAAACTCGAAGTTTTGGGTCTCTGCGACTTGCCAAAAAATCCAAGGTGATATATGTATCCAAATGGATAGTCCAGAGAAATCTCTTTACAAACTTTGTAAAAGGAAATTATTATAAAAATGTGGAGATCTAAATAGATAGGACCATCCAGACTATACTGTAGTTTTATATAGTTGTTAGATAAATTAGTCATCATGTAAAATCATAGAATTTGAGAGCCAGAAAATATCATCTGGCTATCTAATTCAAAGCCAAGTAGAGAGATAATGGTTATGTCATTTCAGTAACTATGTTTTAACCATTTACAAAGTGAAAATCTCAAACTTGGTAAATTCTACCACTTACTTTGTTTACTCATCCTCCCCACATTACTAAGCACTGTTAGAGAAAGTCATGGAATCTCATTGATATCAACTATTATAGATTTAATCTTTGTGTGCATAATCTCTGTTATGCCCTCGCTGCTATTTGGTAAATCTTCTCTTTGACTCTTATCAGATTCCTATTTCATTCCAATAACAATTATTGTTATTACTAATAATTAGCATTATAATAATTTTTATTTTCAATTTCCCTTCCACATTCCCATGTCCTACACATAGAGTAAATGACTTAGATTTCTACTTTGTGAAGATTTAGAAAATCTGGTGGAATTATCTGTACTCTCCTTCTTTACTCCTAAACACATCTCATTTTCATCATCCATCTTTCCTCCTTTCTTCATCTCAGAGGAAGGAGGACACATCCTGTTCCTTTCTATGGATAACAACTCTACCTATATTCTTTACCCCATTCTTACTCATCTTCTTCAGGATCTTGGTCCTGCAGTTATGCCATCTTTGTCATTTATCTTCAGTCTCTCCTTTTCCATCTTTCTGAAAATATGAACAGGTCTCCCTAGTCATCATCATCATCAACCACAAAAACAGCAACAATATCAACAACAAGTTTTGTTCACTAGTTTACTGTCCCCTACCTGATCTCTTAAAATGAAAGATCCCCAAGGTCATGTGTTCATCTCTTCTCTTCTCTTTTTAAGCTCTCTTTGTAATCTTATTTATTCCCACAATGCCTCTGTCCCAAGTTCTAGATCAGCATGTAAATTATTGTTTAAAGTTTGACTCTATATCCATTCTTAGGAAATTCATTTAAAAGTTTTTTGTTTGATTTCCTGCTATTAAAGGAACCAGTAAATGGTAAAAAGCTATATATTAAACATAATATTTTTCTCCTGACAGTTGCATTTAAAAAAAAAGGTATATAATTCAATAATGGCTTAGCCATATTGGAATTTTTAAAAAAATGATTCTAGGTTTACTGCAGCATTTTCCAGAAAACAAAGCAATTTGAATTTCCTTCTAATGACAATGTAATTGTTGTTTTTTCCAGTTGATTCAGACAATCAGTGTCATGGACAAAGATGACCCTCCTCGGGGACACAAGTTCTTCTTTGAACCAGTACCAGAATTTCCTCTTAATCCTAACTTCACAATTGTAGATAATAAAGGTATACATGAGCCTTACTCATCAAATTCATTTATTATTTACCTCTCTGAGATATTTAAAAGCTTATCACATTTTATTCTTGTTCTTTTTCTTATAGATAACACAGCTGGCATACTCACCAGAAAGGATGGGTATAGCCGCCATAAAATGAATGCTTATCTCCTACCAATTTTAATATTTGACAATGATTATCCAATCCAAAGTAGCACTGGGACACTAACGATCCGTGTGTGTGCCTGTGATAACCAAGGAAATATGCAGTCCTGCAATGCGGAGGCCTTGATCCTTTCAGCTGGTCTGAGTACAGGGGCTCTCATCGCTATTCTCCTATGCATCCTCATACTGCTTAGTAAGTGACTCTGTAAATGAATGCTCTTTCAACTTGCAAAGTATCTACCTCTCTTTTAATCAGCATTATATCTGGAAAACATTTGTAGGTCGAGAATAAAAAATACCACTTTAATTTTCATATTATCTTAATAAGGTCTACACATTTACATTACTTGGCTACTTCTTAATTATGTTGAAAAGGACAGACATTGCTGGCATTTGCAAACAATGCCAAATTAAGAATAAATTTGGTAAAAATATTTAGTGTCTAATAGGCAAATGCATTAAAACTTTTACAGTGCTCATACTAATTACAAGGAACAACTTAATAATTGCAATATAAATTTGTTATATAAAGGTATAACACTCCAATTAAATAAATTAAAGATTGTATTTATTCTGATCTGCCACCATAATCACGACAAGGCTTATATATATTTCCAAATGAGTGTGGGTTTCACCATTACAAATGTTTTATTTGAGTGTGTCATAACAGGACAACCATTTGATTCAATTAAACAGTTGTTCCACTGTCAAACAATTCAAAAACATTCATTTCCTTAGCTGTTTAGCTAGAAATCCTTATGCTGAGGACAGTGAGGCCAGCCAAATTTATTTTCAATTGCTATTCCAAGCTGGCTGCTTTTCACTGAAAACCGTCACAAGCCACCTGGATGACTTCCCATTGGCCAGGAAATCTTGCAGGACTTTAGCGGATGCCTGAGGGAAATGGCTGACAAATCATTTGTGCAATTAAAATGATCCAAATATTTAAAAAAAAAACATTTTCTTGGGGTAGGAATGGGGGCAAATTATGCCAACAGCCAATACACAAATAAATGCAACCAGCTGTCAGGATTCAACTGTTCACATACATTAAAAAATATTTTTATGTCCTCAAGATGATTCAGTTATGATTATAGTTGTGCTGGCAATTACTACTGAATTTATCTTATTTCCTTTATCCATAAGGAACTATTATTTTGACCAGTTTATTTCCTAGAATTATACATAGTAACACCTATGTGTGATCCATGTTTATGTGTGTGTGCATTGTATATTTCTCTATATCAGTAAAACATAGTGATACACAGGACTACTGCCAATTTCAAATAAATCCCTGGAATTTGCCTAATTTATCTTTATCAAATACAATCCACAACTTTTCTCTCTGTAGAAAGGAAGTGGCATGTTTCTCCCTTTTTCAACTATAAACAACTAAAAAAGTCCAAATTACCTTCTTTTCACTTTCTTACCATCCTTTCTAGATACTGTGTCTTTCTTCAGTTCTGTCTTCCATTAAAATTAACTCCCATCCTAGAACTTTACTTATTTACAAAGCACAAATTCTTCAGAAAAGTATACTAAATAGATATTTCTTAACCTGTACGTCTTTCCTTATGTGAATAAAGATGGCACCAGCACTATGATATCATAACCATATTTAGAAAGTTATAGTGTGGGGGCAGCTAGATGGCATAGTGGATAGTGTTCCGGCCTTGGAGTCAGGAGGACTTGAGTTCAAATCTGGATTCTGACACTTGACACTTACTAGCAGTGGATAGAGCACCAGCCCTGAAATCAGGAGGACCTGAGTTCAAATCTGGCCTCAGACCAAAAACTTGACACTTACTAGCTGTGTGACACTGGGCAAGTCACTTAACTCCAATTGCCTAAAAACTTAAAAAAAAAAAAGAAAGAAAGTTATAGTGCTAGGCAGTGACATCCCCCCACAAACACACACACACTTTAAGTAAAAACAAACAAAAAATAAGAGCTCCTTCCCAAATGATAGCCATCTTTGGAGTTAACATGGGAGATATGATTTTTGAAGGCATGAGGTAGACAATTGTGAACAGATTAAAAAAGAAAGTAGAAATCCATAGAATATTTTTGAATGATATCAATGAGGGTAAAGTTATACTGAATTATATTTAGTTAAGAAAATTGAATAAAATTCTCCTAGTTAAGTATAGAGTATTTCTAAAATTTTGCTGTTACATGTAAAGACTTTGGAGTGCCATGAGTCATTGCATCATACCAAATAGTTGTGTTTCAGAAAAGACCTAGTCATAAATGGTTTATCAAGTTCTGCCTGCTTTCTAAAGAGAAAAAAAAAAGCCAAGCACATGTATAATGCATAACATCACAAGCTCTTCCTCTAAATTTGGGAAGATCAACAAACCCAAAGGAAATGCAAGATGCAGTATGACTTTCCTTCGCTCTTTCCTCAATGGGGCAGGGCAGTATACTTTGTAGTCAAGCTTACACAAAACTCCAGGCTTGGACAGGAAAGGGGCAATTATTATTTGAAGTTATAATTATGTAAAATATGGTGATTGATTGTAGCCCAATGGAAACATGTAGTGTGAATTTGAATAATGTAACCACTTCACCTGGATTCATTATTTTTACTCATTGAGACCTAGCTATATTTTTTTCCTGAATCTCAAAGCTCTCTGATAACAGAGAATAACCAACTTTTTTATCTGACAATTTTATCCAGTTCAGATCCCCATAACATGCTTTACTTCCAGTCATTAAAATTTATCCATTTTCTTTTATTTTCTTTCTCAGTTCTAGTTGTTCTGTTTACTGCACTGAAGAGACAGAGGAAAAAGGAACCCTTGATCATTTCAAAAGATGATGTTCGAGACAACATTGTGACCTATAATGATGAAGGTGGGGGGGAAGAAGACACCCAAGCTTTTGATATTGGGACACTACGGAATCCAGAAGCTAGAGAAGACAGTAAACTCCGAAGGGATGTAATGCCTGAAACTATTTTTCAGATAAGGAGGACTGCTCCATTGTGGGAAAACATTGATGTACAAGACTTTATTCACAGAAGATTAAAAGAGAATGATTCAGACCCAAGTGCTCCCCCTTATGATTCCCTAGCAACATATGCTTATGAAGGGAATGATTCCATAGCAGATTCCCTCAGCTCTTTGGAATCACTTACTGCAGATGGTAACCAGGATTATGATTATCTCAGCGACTGGGGACCTCGATTTAAAAAACTTGCAGATATGTATGGGGGAGATGACAGTGATCGAGACTGATAAAAGTTGCCAGTGACTTACTGGGTCAGTATCAATGAAAGTAATGTCCTTATTGCTAACTTAAGTGGCCTGCATTCTCTTACTTGGGGGAAAATACAAACTCAAAAATACAAACAAAACCTAAGTGTTGTCTTAGTAAGGGTTTGCTTAATCAATAAGTCCACGTAAATGAATATGAATGGTATAGCTATAAGAAATTTTCACACTCTCTGCCTAAAAATCTTGGAAGGAAGATGCATCATATCAGTAAAGAGAACAAAAGGCTTTTTGTGCCTTTTCAAAGAGAAGGAAACTTCAATTTTTTTTTCTTATCTTGCTTACAGTCACCTTTATTATATGGGACATTGTGCAACTACTTTGTAAACTAATATGAAAAAGAATCTAAATAACTATTACTGCCATATTTATTGAGTTGAAGAAGTCTTTGTGTTGATTCATTCATGATATTTTTATAAATGTATATTTATATTTTTGTATTTTTATGAAATAAACTAGTATTTATAAAAATTAAATGCTTTTCACTTCTTTTCTAAAGGCCTGCTTGATTTTCCCCTTATAACTATGGAATCATAGGATCTTTAGCACGTGAGGAACCTTGGAGTTAACCCTGTCCAATCCCCAAACTATTCATCCAATACCTGCTGGAACACCTCCAGTCATAAGAATATCATTACCTCCTGGGGCAAACTGTTCCCTTTGTAGACAGTTCTAATTATTATAAATTATTTCTTCATATGGTAACTGTGAACACATCAATGTGAGTATTCCCAATAATGGTGGACACTGCAATCCATGTATGACTTCTGATCCTATGCCATTTTTACCTATATTTTTATATGGATTCTATATAGAGAAATTAACCAACATTAGCCAACATTCTAGAATACTTCCTCTGGTTCTTTGAATATTGTGTGCAAGTTAGTGCAACACTCAGAAGTATCTATCAATCTGCTTTCCTTTACTCTCACTAAATGACTGTCTTAGTTGCTATCCTAGATACAGTATACATTCTTGGCTGATGTCTCTCAGACCACAGATATCTTCCCACCTACAATGTTCAATGCATTGACCCAATTTCTACTCTTTCAAGGCAAACAAGCAAATCTAATCTTTTTTCTACATATCGTGTCAAATATTATTTTACCATATGCCCAACAATATGCCCTTTGGACCCACAGCTATTAATAACTTATTTCCCAATGTACCCTAAGGATCCCTGTGCCTTGCAGCTGCACATTTATTATCTCCAGGTCCTTCCACCAATCTGGCCACTGAACACTCCCTTCTATAATTTCTGTCTATTCTAATTATAAGGTGAACCCCTTTGAGCAGAGAATTTTTTTTTCCTATTTGAAAAACCAATGATTAGTACAGTACTTGGTACATAATAAATATACATAAAATGTTCATATAATTCATATATTCACTCATATTTGAAAACAGTGAAGATGTAAATCAAGTTCTCTTAGCTTCACCCTGAATAACCCATGTTCCTTCCACCATTCCTCAAATGGCATAGTTGTGATTCCTCACTGTTTGCCTGTTAAATTCTGGTATGAACAGGATGGAATACATATTTTTATTATTTTATTAATTCCTCCATGCTTGAAATGTTCTCCCTCCTTGTCTCTGCCTCATGGCCATCCTGGATTCCTTCAAGGCTCAACTAAAATTTACTGTTAGCAAAAGGTTTTCCAGGTTGTCCACACTGCTTTTGATTCTCTAATTTTATTAATTAATAATATTTCATTAGTTCTTTTTTGGCTGATGCCACTTTATTGATATATTGAACTTGAAATCCAACAAAGCTCTCCAAATATATTTTTATAAAGAAAAAAATCTGTCATCATGTATCTTTTTATACCAAAGGTGATTCATTTGGTATTTGGTATACATAATTTCCCTTTAATCCTTGATGAATAAAATTTTGTACATCAGTGCTCCCTTTGTATATGCTCATGAAAGAGATTTTTGCATCTAAGTACAATTCTTCATGTGTATTCCTATTAAATCTAGTCGTGTTAGATTTAGCGTATCATTCAAAGTTGTTGAGATCTTTGTTTTATTATGATTCTGTTATTAGATATGTTAACTATCCCTTCAACTTTGAGTCATTTATACATTTATACATTTGGTTAGCAGACCATCTGTATTTTCATTCAAGTCATTGATCAAAATGACAGAAAGAATAGAATTGAGGACAGTGTTTTGCAGCATACTAGCATGCTATTAGAGAGTTTCTCTAGGTTGATGTTAATGCATTAATCACTATTCTTAAAGTCAGTTACTGCAGGTGATGACAAATGGGACCTAAATTATATAGTATAGTGACTTCATTTTGCCAAAACTTTTTTTTCTATTTTAATTATACAGTAAATCAATTAACAAGGTTTGTTCCCCTATGGTTAGTTGACTAGAATCATGATAGACACCATGAAGATTCTAAAAACAGATTTCATTTATGTAGTGCTTTAAAGTTTCTTAAGTGCTTTACATATGTAATTTACTTCTGGAAGCAAACTTATAAGAAGAAACTGACTCAGAGGTTAAGTGATTTGTTCAGTAGAGATATTTTATAATAGAGAGAGAATTAATAGACTCCTGATCAACTAATAAATAAGCATTTATGAAACTCTAACTTTGCATAAGTGCTATCCAAGGTGCTGTGAATAAAAAGAAAGTAGTGAATAAGTCACTACCCTCAAGGACCTGATATTCTTTTAAAGGTAAATGACATAGGCCAATATAATATATTGTGTTAATCTATTACCAGAAGTTTAGAAATACAGCAGTATTTCTATATGCAATTCTTAGGTTTGTTCATAATTGCTTGATATTTTTAATGTGACATAATTGTGAAGTTTTACTGCAATTCTCATGGAGATCAAGTTAGTCATGGTAACAGAAAGTAACCATATTTCATCTACCTTTTGTTTAAACCCTACAGAATTAAATCATTTTGATTATAATGGTTTTGAAGATAATGTTAATTAAAATCTGGTAAATCAAAATGCCTGGAGGTACAATCAAAGCATAATTACAGTTTTCTTTTCAAATTAAGGGTCAGTGTCTCTCTAGAAGCCTGAATTTTAGTCATATCCAGAATGTACCATGCTCTTTTTAAAGTGTCAGAAATTCGCAGAAATTACTTGAACTAACACTGGAAAGCACAGATTCTGAATACACATAGATTATGCACACTTCATTCCATTCTTTAAAGGTGTGTTTAGATTTGAATAAGGTATAATTTATCCACAAGCATCAAATCTTAATCATTGACTTGGTCAGTATTTATATAAGATCATGTTCATTTCATGGAAATATTGACAATTCATCAACATTCAGATCCAGTATAGTAGAAGGTGCTACTCCTGATGTTTGGTAGGTGGTGTCAGGAACCAAGATCCAGAGATTAAACAGACCTGACAGGTGGTCCAGGAAAGTCCAAACAGAGAGCAGCTGAGGCCCAACAGGAAGGAGAATATCAAGAGAGTATAAGCATTTGTAATCAGTAGAGGTTTAGACAGATTTCATTAAAATTGTTAACTAAGCTAGTCTATTCACAAAATAAAGTAGATGGTAGGCGTGGGGAGGTTTGAGAAGGCCTTAGATATCATCTAATCCTTTTATTTTTCATCTAAGGAAATAGAAGTTTGCATCACAGTTAGAAACAAGGGCAGCTGGAAATCAAAGCCCAGTCTTTTCCATGACTGCTAAAATTTTCTTTCCATTGCACCATTACACTTCAAGGGAAAAGACCTGAGTTTATGTTAAACATTAGCATCAAGGAAGTCTAATTTTGAAATGAAAGCAGGATTTCCCAGGAAGGACTCAGAGGCAGGACCCCAGTCTTTGGAAATATCAGTGATATGAAGATAGGGCCCTCATTCCTTGAAAAACTAAGACACGGGGCAGCAGGGTAATAATGTGAGGCTTAAACAATAGAAAATGACAAGAAAAGTAGATAATTGGATAGACTTGGGCCTGGGATGAGAACTAAGTTCAAATTTGACCTTCATATACTTACTAGTCATGTGATCCCAGGCAAGTCAATTAACTTGCATTTGCCTGTTTTCTCTTCTGTAAAATGGGTATAATAATGGTGCCTACCTCCCAAATTTGATATTATAGTATGGGTAATGTTCATTATTCATTAATTTTGTTTTCTCTGTGCATATGACTAAGCTAGTCTTCTGTTATTTACTGTAGATCTTACTGATTGGGATCTACAGTTTTCCAGGACATGATGTTTTTATCCCAATACCACCTCCAAAAAAGAACATCTAAATAATTTAATGATTTCTTTAATAATTTTGACTTTGGGTAAGATACGTTCAAAAACTGTGACAAACCCCATTGTTGGACTTACTTCTACCTGGTTTATTCCTACCTTTACATTAATAATAAGAGGATTAGTTTAAAAAAAAAAAACTCAGGTTGCTCCTCATAGAAAAGACTTACTTTCTATAGTCTGACTTCAAGCTGCATCATTCAACTGAAATTACTTGTCCAAAGTTATCAGTGATTTCTTTATCACCAAATCTAGTAGACTTTTATCAATTCTTATTCTTACTGACACTCATGATCATCACTAGTCTCTTGATAATCTCTTTTCTCCAAGTTTTTGTCACATTACTTTTTCCTGGATCTCCTTCTACCTAACTATTCCTTCTCAATCCCCCTTGCTATATCAGCATCCAGGTCATGCCTGTTAATCATGGATATCCCACAGGGCTCTCTCCTAGGCCCTCTCTTCTTCTTTCACTATATTATTTCACTTTGTGAGTTCATCAGCTGACACGGATGCAATTACGTCTATCTTCATGATATTCAGATCTATGTATCTAGCTCTAACATTTCTTTTGACCTCTAGACCTTCTGACTCATGAATTCAACTGCCTATTGGACCACTCAAAGTGAATGTCCTCTAGACATCTTAAATTAAATACAACTAAAATAAAACTCATTATCTTTATGCTGACCCCCTCCTAGTTTCCTAA